GCCGTGCCTTCCGTGCCGTGCCGTGCCTTCCCTTCCCCGCCGTGCCTTCCGTGCCGTGCCTTCCCTGCCGTGCCGTGCCTTCCCTGCCGTGCCTTCCGTGCCTTCCCTGCCGTGCCGTGCCTTCCGTGCCGTGCCTTCCTTCCCGCCGTGCCTTCCGTGCCGTGCCTTCCCTGCCGTGCCGTGCCTTCCCTTCCCTGCCGTGCCGTGCCTTCCGTGCCGTGCCTTCCCTTCCCCGCCGTGCCTTCGGCATTTTTTTGCATTTCTTTTATATTTCTTGCAATTAAAAGAAATTGTTAAATTAACAAAGAATTGCGTTTTATTCATTAAGATCTGCAAAATGCCAAGAACATTCCAGATCTGCACGGAGATTTACCTAAAAAGGAGGAAAAAGTGAACTTCAGATGAAATTTCATTTTGATACCCCCTCCCATTTGGGAGGTGGCTAATCCTTGCCCACTGCCCAGCAGTGTTCAGTCGGATCGACCTTTTGATGGAGGCCCTTACGGAACCTGGGAGACCTGGCCTGGCCGGGCCGACTGCCTCCCTGGCGGCAATTGCCCCACACACATGTTCTGCACTGGGAGCACACGCGTGCTGGCTCTTGAGCCACCGGCGTCCTGCCGTGACAGCAACCGCCCCACATGTGGTGATCCCGGGAGGGAGGAGCCCCCCCGTTACCAACACACATGCTGACAATATGAGCTGCCAGGGCCGCGCCGTGACAGTGATTGCCCTCGACACCATGACTAGCATGGGTGCCTTAGCGATCGAACTGTCACTGGCGTCCAACCCCGACAGCAACCGCCCCACATGTGGTGATCCCTCGGGAGGGAGGAGCCCCCCCGTTACCAACACACACGCCGACGATATTAACTGCCGAGGCCGCGCCATGCCGGCGAACCGGCGGGGGGGTCAAGAGGGGATAGAGTAGGGAAAGGGAGGGAGAAAGACACGAGGACGTACCAAGCCTCGTGCGGAATAGGTACCTGCCCTGGCTGCCGCCCGGCCCACTTGCCTCCGTGGGCTGCACCTTCACGCCACACAGTTAGCCAGTGTGGTGTGGTGGCGTGGTGTGTGCGGTGTCGACAGAGAGGGTAGAGGTGAGGTGGTGGGAGGTGGCAAAGAAAAAAGAGAAACCAACCCCCACCCACCTTTGGCCGACAACCAGGGGGGAGGGGGAAGGGGCCATTGGGCGAAAGGTTGTCTCAACCTTTCCTTCGGGATGCCCTGTCACAAGGCAGGCTCCTTTTTTAGGCAAAGTAAAAGAGAACATCTTCCGCAAGTCTGCCTGGCTCCTTTTTTAGACACAATAAAAAAGAGAACATCTTCCGGGCCTTCTTGTTCTCTTTCTTCTTCTTCTTCTTTTTGAGAGATTTTGAGAGAGAGAAAAGAAATCATTCAGGAAAACAGGTGCGGCAAATAATGCCTTTTTGTTTTGTAAACAAAGCTAAATCGGATCTAGGATGCCCCCGACCGCGCTGTTCAACATGGCTGCGGAAGGAGCAGCGCCAGCCACACCCGACCGCGCTGGTCTACACACGGCAGCGGAAGGTGAGGCCTCCTCACCACCACGTCCCACGTGGGACGGCAGCACATGCCTATGTGAGGGTGCCGCCCCCGACCGCGCTGGTCTACACACGGCCGCGGAAGGGGCAGCGCCAGCCTCCTCACCATGTGACCGCACTCGCCGCCGGCTCACCCCCTCGTGTGTGCGGGTGTGCCGCCCTGACCGCGCTGTTCCAAACGGTGGCGCGGGGAGGTCATGCACTGCGAGCCAATGCAGGCACCTCCTTCAACAGGTACTCTCGGACACATTGGCTCGAAGGGTTGTTCGCCTGGCCGTCGGCTAAAGAAGGAGGTCTTTGATGCGCCAACAGTGCCTTTCATCAGATCGGAACGGGACTGGACGACAGGGCCGAAGGGTTCGATGACATACCATAATAACCCTTCTGACTGACACTTGTGGTTTGTCGTTGCTTAATTGCGTTGCGTTGCGTGTGCGGTGTGTGCCGTCGCACTGCGCGACTGCAGGCCAAGACGACGAAGGGTTGCTACCGTGCGCTGCGAAAGGCCATTCGGTCGACGGGCAAGAACGTGCTGGTGCACGCGCTGGCCTTCACGTCGTTCCACGACTTTGAGTTCCTCAACACTATCCGCAGGGATCTGGGCACCGTGGAGGGCGGCTTTCAGGTACCACCAGCCGGAACTACTCGCCCAGCAAGCAAACGCTGAACGTCACTAACACAACCAGATCCCATTCTTCGTTGCAGTACGACAAGGGTGGAGCGCAGGACTTGGCCCACCGCATTGCCGAGGGCCACGGTACGTCGGCTGCGACGAGGTGGTCGCACGCATGTCAGGAGGCCGCTGACGCGCGGTTCCCGCCCGCGCTTCTTCTTTTTTATATATATATATTCTTTGTTGTGCAGTGTCCCAAGTGCGAGAAGGGCGTGTTGTCGTACGAGGACGGCGCCTACCTCTGCCGGCACAAGGCCACCGAGTGGAGCAGGTGCGCACCACGAATCCACCACCACCATCACGGTCGTGTGTGTCGTGCTTGTGTGTCGTGCGTGTGGTGTCGTGTGTGCGGGTTGGTCGTTATGTGTACTTATTTAATGTTTTTATGGCTTCTTTCGTTCGTTGCAGCTGCACGTTCGCGGCCAAGGACGACGAGGTCGACCGTCTCCCCTGGAAGAACCCCAAGTGGTGGGCCGGGAAGATGAAGGACGACAGCAAGAAGCGCAAGGCCGCCACCAAGGTACGACAGCACGACACGACACGACACGCACGGCACGACATGACACGACACGCACTCAATTCGGTGGCGGCAGGGCATCAAGCGTGGCGCTGCGTCCGAGGCCAAGAGCCAGACGTCGTCCAAGCGGAGGAAGGTCGAGTCCGAGGAGGAGGAGGAGCCCTCGGGTCCCGTGTTCGAGGGCGTCAAGTTCGTGCTGCTCGGCGAGCTGTCCAAGCCCCATGACGACTGGTCAAGGAGCACGGCAGCTCTGTCCTCGATAAGCGTACGTGCCCCGTTGTGTGTTATGTCGTGTGCGGCGTGTGCGATGTGTGTCGTGTGTGTGCGGGTTGTGAGTGCCACGTGTAAGGTGGGTCTTATAGTCAAGACGGGCGTCCGCTTCATCGCGGCCTCCCGTGACGGCATCTCCAAGAACCAGGACGTCATCAAGAAGGCCATTGAGAAGCAGGTCCCCGTGCTCCACGAGGTTTGTCCCCCAAATCTGCTCTACGTCATGCTGACGTCACGTCCGTGCAAATACTCATTTTTTATTTAATTTTTAAAACAATATGAATGGTCAGGACTTCCTGCACGACACCATCTACAACGCCATGCTCAACTACGTACGTTCTGGCCTTTACCCCACTCGTGTGCGGTGTGGTGTCGTGTGGTGTCGTGTGGTGTCGTGTGCGGTTAGTGTGCGCACGTGCATGCGGTCACCAACAGGTGGCATGGAGAGGTACTCGCTGATGGACCGCCAATCGGCGTCGGTGCCCCTGCGGGTGGTGAGCTTGTTCGAGCTGCCGCTGAGGCCCAGGAGCCGGTGCTCCTTTGCCGCCTCCTCACTATGGCCGTCCTTGAGCGCAAACGAGCTCTTGATCAGATTCCTATCGACATTGCCCGCGCCAGCCAGCTTGTTCACGTTGGCCTCAATCAGGTCGGCCAGCAGCACCGTTTCCTCCACTGCGGCCTGTATCGCCATAATAAGTAAATACAGATAGATATACGCGTGTGATGCGTGCGTGTGCTGTTGTGTGCGTGTGTGCGTGTGCGGTCGGACCCTTCAAGCAGATGGGAGTTGAGAAGAGCAGGGGCGAGCTAGTCGGAGAGCTGCTGGACGAAGGTGAGCTGGAGGGCGAGGGCGAGCGCCTTCTTGCGGACAGAGGAGGTCGTTCACGTCCCAAAATCGCTTGAAGTTGTCTGTCGTGTGCGCGTGCGGTGGTGCGTGTGCAGTGTGCGGTGTTCCCCCAAGTATACGCATGCCACAGCCACAAAGTTAATGATCGTCAGACGCGGAATGAGGTGGGTGGAGGCAACGAACTCTTCACAATGCCGTCCCAAAGCGCGTCCTGTTGGTCCCGCGAGAGGGCGTTCACCTTTTTGCCGTCGCCGTGCTTGAGGTAGTTGGCCTTTGGAATTCAAACCACACGCCGCCCCCAGAGTGTGAGCCCAATCGTCGATGTGCGAACCTTCTTATTCCATCACGCGCGCGCACATCGTCGGCGCGTACGTACCTCCTTGAGAGGCGAGGGTACGGGCGGGGGTGGGGTATGTGAGGAATGTGTCGAGCACGCGCGAGAGGAATTCGGACTCAGACGAGTCGCGGAAGGTGAGGATCATTTGGAGAAGGCCCATCACGCCCACGCTGAATAGGCTGAACGTCGCCGTGTTCACGAACGAACGTGTAAAAGTATCTGCTCGCGATATACACCGCCACCAAAGATGATAGTGTCAGTCAGCACCCTCATATATCGTGCGTGTGCACCGGTGGTGGTGTGCGTGTGCGAGACGTACCGGTAGTTGCGCTTTCCCACACGCAATTGCCCACCCATGGGCCTGGGAGTAGAAACGAAGAACGTGAGCGTGGGCGCAGACAACAGCTGGCATAGAGAGGGGAGGGTGCTCGTACAGTGGTGGTCGTATCGTTCGACGCAGTTGTCGCATGTCCGACAGTGCACCGCACGCGGCGGCCTGTACACATCGCACGTCTCTGTTGTGGCGGCATCATCACATCATGCGCACAGAAGAGTGCCATGTGAGTGGGATGGTTATTGGGTTTCAATCAGGTGCAAAGCTGTTGCGTGGTGGGCGTCCGGGACAACGTACGACAATATTTTACGACAACCAAGGTCTCACCCACCACGTACTGCTTGCCCTCCTCCAACTCTGCACAGAACCCAACCCATTCATACATGGTAAGCTGACGTCGAAGGTGGTGATGATATAGAAAGACGATGACGATGATAATACGAAGAAGGAAATCGGGGGAGTCCTTAGCAATGACGCACGTTGTGGTGTGAGAGAGCGAGGGCGGCCGCGCGGTATGATGCCGGGATCGCTGAAGCCGCACGCGACCAACGACGCCAACGTCAGCACGAACTGTACCGCACCAACCACCGCCGCCCCGTTAGGGTTGGTCCACAGCGCACGCCCTCTGGTGCGCGACTGTGCGTGTGCGGTGTGCGTCGGGTACTTACCGGGTAGACAGTGCCCGCGACCATCACCCACGACACCTCCACTGCCAGCCACGGCGCCCTGGTGTTTGACGTGCATGTTGCGACGGAACACAAATCGGACCCGCCGGCCAGTGCGGCCGACAGGGCGGCACCTGCTTCGCCTCCGTCGTCGCGTGGTCAAGCGTTCATGCTGGGCGATGAGCTGCCTCTCGAAGATGACGGCAGAGATGAAGACGAAGACAGTGACGACAGCGAAGACCTCAGCGACGATGAAGACGAATGCTGGGGGCGGCAGCGGCAAGAAGAGTAAGGCCAAGAAGGTGGAGGTGTACCAGGGCACCTCCATCAAGCAGTGCGGCGGCAGAGGCGTGTCTTCCGGGCGCGACCGAGGCGTCTTCTACATGACCCTCAGCCTCATCATCCTCCCCGCTCTCGCCAAGATGTCGCCCAGGCGCCAGTGGTGTGGTTATCGCTCCTGTGCGCGTTGTGTCAGGCGGGTTCCAAGGTGGTGTTAGGACGAGCGATATATGGTTGGCTAAAGAAAAATAATCCATATACCCAAGGGAATCGTCTTCGCCATGTTCACACCGGTTGGAACATAATATATTCTTCTTATTATTATTTATGTACCTTTTAATAAAAGAAGAAGGAGAAACAGGAGAAACTCTAAATGGAAAAAGATACTCCGCCGCCTCACTTTGCGCTCGGCCCTCGAATACCCCACGCAAGACCGTACCAGCCCTCCGAACATGGCCCTTGGTACGCACCACTCACCCGTCATGCTGGGCGCGCTGGTCCCGCTGTGCACGAACGAGGGCACGGTCAACTTTGCGCTCCGGCACATCGTTCCGCGCTTACCTCGAGTCCACGCGCCACTGGAAGAGCGTCTCGCCCGACTTTGAGCCTCTTAGAGCCCAGGTCCCAGCATCTGCACTGAGAGGAAGAAATAAAAATAATAATGGAAAAAATGCCCGCGCCAAAAACAAAAACTAAAAGAAATCGAATTCTTTATTAGGTAGGTGTGCCTATTTAAGCTGTGGCAGTGGGAAGAAGGGTTGGCGGCCGGGATTCTGTTTTTCTTTATCTCTTACGAACATTACGAACGTCAGAGACCCTTGCTGCTCAGAAAAGAGATTAGACACCCGACTTAGAATAAGCAAAAGAAAAGATGAACATCGGACAGGAGAAGAAGAATGTGTGCTCCGTGGTGTCTCAGCCACCCCCATCACCCACCGCCATCCAGGTACGCAACCGTGTGACACGTATTAATGACGTGTTTGCTCGTTTGAAGGCAGGCCTCACGCTGCCATCAACGGGCTCCACCCTGCCGACTGCTACGTGCCCCGCGTTGCTGTCAACGGGCACCATGTGCCGCCCCAAGCTGGTCGAGCTGCGTCGGCGGCTTGAGTGCCTGAAGGTGCGTGTGGCCTCCAATGCCACACCTGTGGCCGTGCTGCCGGCACAGGGCCTGCCCCAGGTACCCCCGGTCGGCAGGGGCCTGGTCTCCTTCGAGGCCGTCGAAGCTCTGACGACGACGATGACGAGGAGGCCGAGGCCCACGCTGCCGACGCCCCAGGTACCCCCGGTCGGCAGGAGTCCGGTCTCCTTCGCGTCTGTCGAAGTTCCGACGACGACGACGACGAGGAGACCGAGGCCCACGCTGCCGACGCCCCAGGTACCCCTGCTCTCCTTCGCGACCGTCGAAGCTCCGACGACGACGACGAGGAGGCCGAGGCCCACGCTGCCGACGCCCCAGGTACCCCCGGTCGGCAGGAGTCCGGTCTCCTTCGCGTCTGTCGAAGTTCCGACGACGACGACAAGGAGACCGAGGCCCACGCTGCCGACGCCCCAGGTACCCCTGGTCGGCAGGAGTCCGGTCTCCTTCGCGTCTGTCGAAGTTCCGACGACGACGAGGAGGCCGAGGCCCACGCTGCCGACGCCCCAGGTACCCCTGCTCTCCTTCGCGACCGTCGAAGCTCCGACGACGACGACGAGGAGGCCGAGGCCCACGCTGCCGACGCCCCAGGTACCCCCGGTCGGCAGGAGTCCGGTCTCCTTCGCGGCCGTCGAAGCCCCGACGACACCGACGAGGAGGCCGAGGCCCACGCTGCCGACGCCCCAGGTACCCCTGGTCAGCAGGGGCCTGGTCTCCTTCGCGGCCGTCGAAGCCCCGACGACGACGACGACGACGACGGCAAGGGGAGCAAGGCCCATGCCGCCCATGTCCCAGGCCCCCCTGGGCAGCAAGGCTGGGGCATCAGGGCCTCCTCCTCCTTCATCCCCTGCTGCACTGACACGTGCAGGAGACATGGAGAGCGTGCGCAGAACGCTGCGCACGCTCAAGGACGACCTCGCCATTACACGGCGACTGCGCCGACGCCGACTGGAGCGAAAGGCGGCCCTGGCCCTCCACCGCGCCGCCGACCGACGAGCCACCAATCAAGGCCCATGCTTCTGAGCAGGTGCGAATCTCCCCACCTTTTTTTTGACACGCGCACGCACACGACACGACACGACACGACACCACCACACGACAACTGGGTGGCGGTGGTCACCCCATCGACTACCCAATCCAAGCTTCTAAAAAAAAAGGTACGCTTCTTCCCCACACACGTGCTTTTATTTTCTGTTTTGCAGTAAAGGGGGCTTGGAGGGACCAGCACGGCATGGGCACAGTCGCTGCTCTTGAGGTTGGCCAAAGTCGTGTGTCGTGTGTGCCCAAGTCAAGTGCGTCGTGAGGTATGTGTGTTGTGAGGGTCAAACGGTGTGGCGGTGTGGGCCAAAGTCGCGTGTGGGACATGTGTGTTGTGTATCGTGGGCCATAGTTGTGTGGCGTGTGTCGTGTGGGCCATAGTCGTGTATGTTGTGTGGGCCAAAGTCGTGTGGGCCAAAGTCGTGTGGGCCAAAGTCGTGTGGGCCAAAGTCGTGTGTTGTGTCGTGTGTCGTGTGTGCGACATTTTAGCACAATAAAACAAAACAGTCTTGTATGCACATGCCTGGGCCAGGCATCGGGGCGGAGGCCATGGGAGAGAGTGTGCACCTCGAGTCTCCACCGAGTTACTGGCGGTCGACGGCCTGAGCCCTTGAGACGGAGGGTCTGCATGGCCATGGCGCGCATCGTCACCAGCCAGTCACGACCATGCTGTGGCGATGCTTGACTGGTTGCAAGGGCGAAGACCTCCAAGCATGAGGCAAGGTTGGCGGGCTGCGCAGACCTGTGCTTGAACACCGGAGGCGTAAAGAAAAACGTCGTGCGTGTCGGGTGTGTCGTGTCGTTGGTCGTATCGCTGGTAATGCTTTGTCAGTCTAACGGCCCACCAACCACAAGCCTACACAGTTTCGTATCCCTGGAGATAGGCTCCTGCATGACGGGCCTGTCCTTTGGCGGTTCGGACACACTCAACACACAACACCAAATGCAACACACAATACACAACACCACACAATACACAACACACAGCAGCAGCATCATTGAGAGAGGGCGCAGGGAACAGATCTGTGCTGGTGATGGATGGATGTGTGGAAAAGGGGAAGGAGGAGGCGAGCATTTGGAGCAAGGAGAGGCCAGCGGAGGAGGTGGCCCGCTGGGTGAGGGTGCAGGCTCACCCACCCGCCCGCACATATCTAGTCAGGATGACTTTGCCTCTTACTCACAATAAAGCATGCCACACCATCGCATCTTTTCATCTACGAGTGGTGGTTTCGTGGTCGTGCACGTCGCACATACAATAGTTGTGTGTGGTGTGTGTGTGTGTGTGGGAGCGCGGCGGTGGGTACATGGCGGTAGCGGCGCGGAGCAGCTGCAGCGCTGGATGGGTCGATGACGTCAGGCAGGACCAGGGTCAGCGGCGCGAGTCCTCCTCCTCTTCCCGCAGCTCGGTCTCCGACGTGGCAAAGGCGCTGTTGGCGGCCGCCCCACCACCACCGGTGCTGCTGCCGTAGGGGATGGCCAGCTCGACCCGCCCCAGGTAGCCGCCCGGCACCAGCGGCGTGCCGGCCCGCTCCGCCGCCTCCTGCTCCTCCACCTGCTTCCGGTAGAGCCGCGCCATGGCCTGCAGCGTCGACCAACGCACGCCGTGGTGCGCCTCCTACACGACACCACGCACACGCGACACCGCACGAGCATCGATGTTGCTGGGGACCCACGCTGTAGAGAGAGAGGAAGAGCTCGGATTGGGAAGAGGGGGGGAGGGGGAGTGGCTGCCGCACCTCAAAGCGTGGGGTGGGCATGTCGAGCACGCGCTTGAGCAGCTCCTCGTCCACGAGCATGACGCGCAGCTTGCGATTCCACACAGCTTTCTCCTTCTCGCACGTGAGCCCAAAGATGTACGTGCGCCACCGCACCGGCATGCCTCTATGATGGCGGTGGCGGTGATGATCACACACGACACAAGACACACGACACACACGACACACACGACACACACGACACACACGACACACACGACACACACGACACACACGACACACACGACACACACGACACACACACGACAGCCGTGGAATCATCGCGATTGTGCGGAGTGACACGTACGCGTCAGCCTGCACGAAGCCGATGGAGCACAGGCTGCTGATTTCGTTGAGCACGTTGTTCAGCACGTACCAGTTCTCCGCTGTACGGCGTCGTCGACCACACACACACACACACACGGTTGGATGGGAGATAGGGGGATGGGAGTGGGCGGGGAACCATGCAAATGCCGGCAATGCCACGCATGCCACGCGACGAGGGGAGGGGAGGGGGGTACCGGGTGGGATTTCCAGGAAGGGGCGACCCACCACCGTTCGGTTCGCTGCCGCGCCCACGATCCTGAACGTGCACGCACCACCAGCCACCAGCCACCAGCCACCACCACCACACGCCCATCGGCCGTGAGCATCCCCGCGCGCCATCAGGTCAGCGCCCCCTTCCCGATAAAGCTCGAGCTGCGTAGTAGAGGGAAGAGGGAAGGAGCCCGCACTTGACGGCGGCCTGGTTGCGGAACATCATGTCATACAGCGAGCGCTCGAACAGCGTACGGAACTTGAGAGTGCCTGCCACGCACGCACCACCACGTTTGTGATCAGTCATCGATGTCGTGTGTCGTGTGTCGTGCGTCGTGCGTCGCGTGTGTGTCGTGTGACGTGTGACGTGTAATCCACCAGCGGCCACCGTGTCCGGGATGACATTCCGGAGAGTGAGAGGCGAGGAGGAGGGGCGCACCGTTGTGAACGGTGTTGAGGCTAAAGTTGACGCGCCCCATGAAGTGGCGCCGATACCACATCCACTTGCCCCGCGACCTGCCCCTCAATCCCCCGCGCCCCACCATCAAGAGCGAACACACCACACCCCACACCCCACACACCGCACACCGCACACCGCACACCGCACACCGCACACCGCACACCGCACACCGCACACCGCACACCGCACACCGCACACCGCACACCGCACACCGCACACACAAAGAGAGAGAGAGAGAGAGGCGCCCGTTAAAGAGAAGGAAGGCGATGATGGTAGTGGAGGAGTCACACACAACACGGCACGCAAGACACGTCCGGGAGGGGGGGGGGAGCGCACCAGGCGAAGAGGGTGGTGAGGGTGGCGGCGGTGGTCCAGATGAAGATGCTGTACACCGGGTAGGGGAAACTCTGCGGGTGGCAAAATACACACGACACGACACGACACGACACGACATGTACATGCCACACACGCAGATATGTGGCGGGATTGGGTGAGGGCGGACCCGGGTGTGTGTGTGTGCAGGGTATGGCATACCATGAATTCCTCGACGGAGGAGGGGAAGACATCGAGCGGCACGTTGAGCATGCGGAGCTTGCCCCCGATCCGGCCCACGCCCGGCACCATCGCCTTCTCCGGCTTACCTGCCGTCGCCGCCACGGACTCGTCGTGGTCGTCGTCGGCGTCGGGCAGGATGAGGACCACCTCGTCCCTCCTCGTGTTGGCGCTGCTGCTGCTGCTGCTGCCCTTCTCCTTGACGGCCACCACCACCTCGGCCTCTCCGGCGTCGGCGTCGTCGTCAGAGGTCGCGCCGCCCTTGCGGGTGCCCATCACGAGCTCCTTGAACTCCAGCCAGCCTCGCCGCTGGTCTGCCCTTGCACCCGCACCCGCACCCACCGTATGCGGCGTTGGCAAAGGTACGCGGGTCCATGATGCTCCTGCTGATGCTGCTGCTGCTGCTGATGCTGCTGCTGATGCTGCTTCTGCTGCTGATGATGATAGGCGGTGTGGGAGCGGGAGCGTACCGATTTCGTGTTGGCGCCACTGGAAGAAGATGTACGTGGCGGTGGTGACCATGGTGCCCACGCCCACACCGAAGAGCAGCACCCAATACCCGCCCGTCGCGCGCGACTTCTTGAACGCCCGGTTGGCCTGCCGCACCCGGCACATCACATCCCATTTTAGAAATACCGCCTCCCTTGCTGAGCAGCGTCTGCGCGTGCCTTGTGCGGGTGGTGGTGGTGGTGGTGGTGGTCGTGGTCGTGGTCGTGGTGGTGGTGGTGGTCGTCGTGGTCGTGGTGGTCGTCGTGGGGGGACGTGTGCCTCCTGCGTGATTTTGCTGGCGGGCGCCGGTGCGTCGGGACTCTGTGGCACGAACCCGCGCATGCCCACACCGCAGCCGCCGCCGCCGCCGCCACCGCCAGCAGCAGCAGCAGCAGGGGTGCCGGGCGTGGACGCCGACGTGCTGCCTGTGGTGGTGGTGGTGGTGGGCGTGGTGGTGGTGTACGAGGCGCTTCGGTGCGCCGTTCGCACGAGCGGGGAGAGCGGCGTGCGGCTACGGACGCGAGATGGCAGCAGTCCTGCGCCCCCGCCCGACGTGGTGGCCGTGGTGGTGGCCCGGTAAAGGGCGGACGACG